CCCTACACCCATCAATATAAACCCTACACCCTAAACCCAAACCCCACATTATAACCCTTACCGTTAAACAACCCTACACTCTAAACCCAAACCCATATTATAACCCTCCCCCTAAACTGCACACCTGAACCCACATTACAAATTGGTTCTCGATTTGCGTTTATTTTTCTACTTTTTCAAGAAGAAGTTTTTGTTTTATTTTTTGTAATGGTTGTTTTTTCTCCCTTATATTCTTCTCTAGTGATTCCATCTTCTTATTTTTCTTCCTTTTTTTCGTTGTCATCATCATTTTTTTTTCTTCTTCTTCTTCCAATTTATTTTCTTCAATCTTTTATTGTGTCTTCATATCCTCTAACACTCACTATTTTTATTTTTCTTTTTAATTTTCTTTACACTCTTTTTCCGTTTTTTGTTGTCTTCCTCATTCCCCATCTCTCTCTCTATCTTTATAATCTTCGTATTCTCTCACATCATCTTATTTTAGTTTTTATTTATCTCTTCTTGTCTTTTTTCTCTTTACATTCCATTTTGTATTATTTGATTTCTTTATCTTCATGTTCGAGTTTTCTTCTTTTCAAAGTTTTCCATCTTCTTTTCTATCGTCTTCCTTTCTTTTCAAAGTATTTCACTTATCAATTCATTTGATACTTTATATTTTCAAGGATTTGTGAAATATTTATATAGTCGAGATCTTTTAAAATTTTATTTGTTTTGTTATCTTTTGATTCTGTTTTTGCTTTAATTATTTTGCTTTTTTTCTATTTCTTAATGTATTTTAGAATGCTAGATAAAAATTTATAATCAACAATTTTTAATTTTGATATACTTCCATAACACTTCAAAATTTTAAAAATGCACCAAGAACTAAATTCTACAACCATCAATAAAAACCCTACACCCTAAACCCAAACCCTACATTATAACCCCCCCCTCCCCTAAACAGCCCTACACCCTAAACCAAACCCACATTTTAACCCCCTCGCCCCCCCCTCTACCTCCCTCCTAAACAGCACACCTGAACCCCACATTACAAATTGGTTTTTGATTTGCTTTTATTTTATTACTTTTTTTAAAAGAAGGTTTTTTTTTATAATGATTGTTTTCTTCTCTCTTTTATTCTTTTCTAGTAATCTCATCTTCTTCTTTTTCTTCCATTTTTTTATTGTTGTCACAATCTTTTTATTTATTTATTCTTCTTCCAATTTGTTTTCTTTAATCTTTTCTTATGTCTTCATATCCTCCAACTCACTATTCTTCTTTTTATTTCTATTTTTTTTTAAATTCTTTTTCTGTTTTTTTTTTCTTTCTCATTCCCCCTCTCTCCCTATCTTTATCATCTTCATCTTTTCTGACTTCATCCTATTCTACTTTTTGATTATCTCTTCTTTGTCTTTATTGTCTTCAAATTCCATTTATCCTTCTTTAATTTGATTTTTCTCATGTTGATTTATCTTCTTGTTCTTGAAGTTTCCCTTCTTCTTTTCCACCGTCTTCTTTTCTTGTACTCATGTTTTTTCATTTTTGTCTACGTCTTGTCTTTCATTTATCAGTTCATTAAATAATTTATATTTTTAAGAATTCGTGAAATTGTTTTTATCTTTATATAGTTGAGATCTTTATTTAAAACATATTTGCTTTGTTATCTTTTGATTCTGGATTTGCTGTAACTGTTTTCATTTTTTTCCTATTTGTGAATGTATTTTAAAATGGTAAATATAAAATTATAATGAATAATTTTTAATTTTGATGTACTTCCATAACAATTCAAGTATTTAAAAATGCACCAAAAACTAAACCCTACACCAATCAATATAAACTCTACACCCTAAACCCAAACCCCATATTATAACCCTCCCCCCTAAACAACCCTACACTCTAAACCCAAACACAGATTATAACCCAAACCTCACATTATAACCCTCCCCCCTTTCTACCTCCCTCCTAAACCGCACACCTGAACCCACATTACAAATTGGTTTTGGATTTGCTTTTATTTTATTAGTTTTTTTAAAAGAAGGTTTTTTTATAATGATTGTTTTCTTCTCTCTTTTTTTTTTCTTCTTCTTCTTCTCCCAATTTATTTTCTTCTATCTTTTATTGTGTCTTCATATCCTTTAACTCACTATTCTTATTTTTATTTCTAATTTTCTTTACATTATTTTTCCGTTTTTTTATCTCTCTCTCTCTCTCTCTATATATATATATATATCTTTATTATCTTCGTCTTCTCTCACATCATCTTATTCTAGTTTTTATTTATCTCTTCTTTGTCTTTTTTCTCTTCACCTTCCATTTTTTATTCTTTGATTTCTTTTTCTTCATGTTCGAGTTTTCTTCTTTTCAAAGTTTTCCATCTTCTTTTCTACCGTCTTCTTTTCTTTTACTCTCTTATTTTTTGTTTTTGTCTATGTCTTGTATTTCACTTATCAATTCATTTGAAATTTTATATTTTCAAGGATTTGTGAAATATTTATATAGTCGAGATCTTTTAAAATTTTATCTTTTTGTTATCTTTTGATTCTGTGTTTGCTTTAATTATTTTGCTTTTTCAATTTCTAAATTTATTTTAGAATGCTAGATAAAAATTTATAATCAACAATTAAACCTACAGCCATCAATATAAATCCTATGATGTGTACTATGTAAACTCAGTTCCACCGGTCTCGCTCCCCGACCCGATCTAGGGAAAAAAAAACCCTACACCCTAAACCCAAACCCCACATTACAACCCCCTCCCCTAAACAGCCTTACACCTTAAACCCAAACCCACATTATAATCCCTCTAAACCGCACACATGAACCCGGCATTACAAATTGGTTCGGCTTTTGCTTCTTTTTTTTAAGGAAGATTTTTTAAATCGGTAATGTAGTGTATTCATAAATTTTAAAATGCCGGAAAAACTAAACCTTACACCCATCAATATAAAACATACATTGTAAATCCCAACCCCATTTTATCTTCTTATTCTTTTACTTTGTCTTCTATTTCTTTCAGATTTTTTTCCCTTCATTTTCTACCGTTATTTTTTAATTCTTATCCAACTTTCTAATCTCTTTTTCTTTTCCTCTTTCTTTATCGTAATCTTTTTATTTTCGGGTTTTTATTCGTTTTATTATTTTATTTACAATTAACATTTTCAAATAATCACAACATCTACGATTTTTTTTTTTTTTTTTATCTTCTTATTCTGCTCTTATGTTATTCTTCTTCTTCATTATATATGTTTTGATAGAAAGGAAACAAAATAAACTATGAGAAGTACTTATAAGTATTGATGGCAATAATTTCCCTAAAATCTCAATATATCTTTATTGAAATTTCATAAAAAGGTTAATTTATTGTTATTCTTTTTCTTTTATTATGCCATTTATGTATCTCAATTTACATCAACATCATTCTATTTATGGTTAATGGCGTAATGTGCTCAAGGTTTAGATAACGTTTAATTCTATGTTTTTCCTCATTTTGTACTTGTCTCTCATTATATTGATCACAAACTTATAAATTATATCTCCTTATGGTGTACGGGGAAGGGGGTTTACTGTAAAGTTAGGGTTCAAAATTTAGGATTTAAAAGTAGTTTTATTATAACAGTAATGACATTTGAAGATTTTTGAGCATTTATCATACACCAGAATGTCAGTAGTAGTTTTGGTTTACAAAACAGAGTTATCATAGAGGTGACTCACCGATAATACAATACATAGTTGGTAAATAAAGAATTGATCAGCCTAACCACAAATTACAAACTGGGTTAGGGTTTATTTGATCAGCCTAACCACATTTTTTTCTTTATTTTATTTATCTAACATCTTAATTTTCATTCTTTTTTTGTTTCATCTTCTCCTTCTTCTATTTTCTTCTTCCTTATCCTCTGGGTTTCTTCGTTTTCTCCACTCTTACGAAAGATGTAATCAAACTAAAAGTAGGATAAACAATCTTAGATGTTAATCATATTGTTCATTACTCTATTTGATCAGCGTAAAAGCAGCACAATCCCTCGTCTTTGCATCCAACTGCTTTAAAACTTCTTATCTCATCGAGCATTAAATGAATTCAGTCTTGCGACACGGGCAATATACATCTAAATGATATATCTCTCCTTAATCAGTTCAATGAGCAACAGACTGAGCACTATGGGAGAACCACGAGCTCACATCCGAAAGCTAGTTAAGAAGGACAACATGGTGGATATTAAAAGCAAGAACATATTTTGGAGGTAAAATCACATATATTATGAAGCAACAATTACCAACAGAAGCTTAGGCCTCAAGCAACAATGTCCACAAGCTCACAAACCAGTTTTGTAAACGGCAATCATAAACCAGTCTCGCTTACCAGTGACAACGATAGGTTCTACTCAACGCAACAACAGCTCAAAGGTGGAGGGAGGTAACTTGGATTCTAAGCAACAACAACAATGGTGGAACATTATTCACTCTCTCATGAAAAAATAAGGGGAGACATGGCGATGAGCGTAAAAGAGGTTAGCTTCCACTGGACGACTTTACGAACAACGGTGGTGTCTCGGAGTAGATGGGCGATGGAAGACGGTGGCTTTGAAGATCGCACTCTCGCGGCTTCCTCCAGTATATTTCTCTTCTTTTTTGGTAAAAAACATTTCTGTAACAAACAAAAAAAAACATGTGATAATTTTTATACACTCGTTACAACAAAAGCACCCGAGTCCTCCATGAGACTTAGACCGAGCTCCGCTTCCCACATCATTGTCCCATACCCGGACCTTTTCCTGATGATCACTTATCACTTCATAGAGTAGCTCCTTGAAATGATTATGTATCAATCCTGTAATGATTATGAAGTACAATTTGAAAACATATTTTTGTTAGTTATTTATCAAGATAGTATGAGTACATTTAACCGTAAATTATGCATATCAATAGTTTCTGTTTTTCTGAATGATCGTATCTTCTTCATGATTTACCTTCTTTTTCCCTCACTTGTTGACTAAAACGTGTTAGAAAAATAGAACATTGTTTTAATAGACTGCAGAATTTGTTATTTTTTCGAGACAATCTGTTCTTACGTTTTGTGGGTACCGGAACGCATTGTTAGGAGCAGCCTTAAGCCCTAGAATCAAACTGATCACATTGTATATCTCAACATTCTCAAAAGAAGCCACTTTCTTTCCCTCCAAGAACATCGGACCATGCCCTATAAATATAGTTCTCATCGAGAAGAAGGCATTGTCGTACCCATGAGCTCCACCACATTCTTTGGCTTCACTCTTCTTCTGCTCCACTTTAAAACCCTCATCGACCAATCCTATAATAGGAGGGATCCGATCATTCTCCACATAATGCAGCCTGCTAGGTAAATCCTCTTTGAGATAAATTTTCAAGTACTTGCCATTCTCAACTTCCTTCACCAGAGCTTAGGGCTTCGTTCATCTTCGCCACATATCCGCTGCGTTTCCATTCGAAGGCGGTTTAATCGCTAGCAACGGAGTGTAATACTGAACCCAGCTGCTAGGGATTTCGATCCAAGAAGCTAAATCATCAAGAACAACGACTTTCTAATCACAAGTTCCAACCATTCCATAATCACCAACCATAATCATTGTCACATCATAAAAAACCTCTCTTTTCTCTAACCCATCGATGATTCTTCCTATTAACCTATCGATGTTCACTACAGCTTCTGTGATCGAGGATCATCAGGGCCAACTTGGTGACCTTGATGATCAGGATTTTCGAAGTAAAGCGTCATGAAGCTAGGGATCTCGGCATCATTGGTTCTGTTTTTATTTTTTTCAGACTGAAGAAATCATGAATGGATCGGATATTCCTGTGAATCTATTGTCGAACAGAGAACATATCGACTGATTATACGACTTTAACTTAAAGGTACAGACGTAAGATCAAACTAAAAACGAATAACCTACATGAAGAAAAGATGAGATATGGACTCGAAGAAATTATCTCACCTATATGAAGAATGTGGATTGTTTTGATTTTCATTATTGCTATCTATTTATATAAGACTTAGTCGGTTAAGAAATCTAGGTTTTCCCTTTTTATTTTCTTTCCAAATTTTTTAATTTTTACATAATTGTGAAGCGCAATATGGTAGTTAGGATTATTATTATCGTTAAATATTTTAATTAGAAATATAAATCGTGACATTTAAAAAAGGAAATTATGAAGATTTAATAAAAGATTTTCATTAAGGGTAACTGGGTAATCAACCAGCTGAGAGTTAACGTGGTGGCTCTAAACGAAATTTTCACTTCGCAAATAATATATTAGATTATAATTTATTGGGGAAACTTCAAAACTACACCTCTTGAAGTGCCAATTTTCAAAAATACACCTCTATGTTTATTTTCAAAACTACATTTTTTTCATGGAGTAAAAGAACTCTAAACCCTAAAATATAAATCCAAAACCCTAAAATCTAACATTGAACCCTTAAATCTAAACCCTAAACCCCAAAATCTAAACCCTAATATAGGATTAGTGAACCCAAACATATATATTAAAATTAGGAAAAAGTGTATTTTTGAAAATTTCCACACTATAGGTGTAGTTTTGAAAATTTGCACCTCAAGAGGTATATTCTATAAAATTTCTCTAATTTATTACAGCACAATGTAGTTTCATGCAGCTAATATTCATTTCGTGTAAAATTAAGAAAATACAAAGGTAAAAAAAATATCAAACCAAAAAAATTAACAAATGAATTACACAGCTTTAAAATCTATACAACATACTTAGATGACTTTCAAGATAAAGAAGAAAAACTAAATTATTCTGAAAAAGACACAAACATACAAGATCAAAGTTCAACAATATCCTCTCTCTGGTTAATTAAGTTCCATCATCTCCTTCTTGTTTTTCTTGTGCATGGAGTAGAAGTAAGCTCCCAAAGCCACAGTTGTTCCTATCAAAGTACCTATTCTAGGCCAACTAAACTCATCATCCATAAAATCAAATGCCAACACAACAACCAAGGCCACAAGTGGAGATGCACACATATGTACAACATCACTAAACACACCCGAAACATAAAGCACCAAACCTATTAACCCGACCCCCCAAACCTGCCACGACAAAGCCAACCCGATCAAACTCAAAACATAATACGTTTCCCCTTTCTTAAACCTCTCGCTATCACCTTTCAACTCCTTAAACTCACCACTCACAAACAAACCAATCAGGCAAACAACCGAGGCGACGAAAGAGACACATATTTGCATCTCCAAGACCATTCTAAACACTTTCTTGTTGCCATATCTCTTTGTCTTCACAAGAAGTTTCTCGAAGCCAAGTTGGAATAAGCAGAGAGATAATGAAAAAGCAACTGAAGCAGCGAATGTTAACCAAGCTTGAGTGCTATAGAATTCTTCGTTTTCGTCAGGCTCTCCCCCAAATTCAGGACTACCAAAAACGTATATCACAATAGTGAGGATTATCGATATGATGATCCATCTATTGAACTTGAAACGGTTTATAATGGCTGTGAAAATCGCCGTAAATATTAGTTGGGTTGCCGAAATCAAGGTGAATACGCCATAGTTTGCGTATAATTTCCCCAGCGCAAATAACTTGCTATGAGCAGCAACAAGAACACCAAGAGACAAGTAAAGAAGGAGAAGACGGAAAGAGAGGAAACCAGTATTGTTGGTTTCAAGATTTGGTTTTGGTGAAGGTAAAATGAAGAAGAGAGGGATGAGGATTGGAAACGCAGCGTTTTGAATCAGAGCTTGCGTCCATGTTCCTTTGTATTGTAGATCTTGGTCACTATTTTCACGACGGTCTTGGACGTAGAAGAAGTTCAAAAGAAGCATGACGAGAGAATCTCCGAGCAAGAGTAAGAAAAGACATAACGAAACAGAGATCCACCAATTTCTTTGAGTGAGCACCAACGATCTTCTTTGGCTCAAGATCTGGTCTGGTTCTGGATTCTGTACGTGTTCTGATTCTGCTGTATATTCAAGAAAAAAATTAGGATTTCTTCAGTTTTTTTATTCTTGAGGAGAAAAACAAATTTTAACAGAATAATCCTTTTCAAAAGCAAAAAAAAAAAAAAAACAATTTGAACATAAGAGGAGATAATATAAAACAGTTGTTAAGAATGTGAAATTACCATTTCTTGTCATCTGTTTCGAAGCTTCTGACATCTCTGAGTTTTCTCTGCTCTCAATCTCTGAAGACTTGATAGTATGCAAATTTCATTCTCTGAGGATATTTATATAAATTTTTATTTGGCCCAATTCGTTTGCTTTGTGAGAATCGTCGAGGAGAGGTGCGCGTTAAACAATGACTAGTTCCATCTTGGCGGCGATATAATTAATATTTTTTAATTAAAAACATCTCTGGTCTTACAAGCAATCATATGATCCTTTGACAGATAAGATTGGTATGTTGATAATGACACATCACTTTTGGTTGTTTTGGTAATCATCTATTATCTATCAATCTCTGAAGATTATGGTAATCTGATCTCCATCAACAAAATTTATAGATTATTTTGTAGAACTTTATCTCAAAAGTCGTATTCCGTTATGTTCTTTTGTTTAGCTAAAATAAAATTTTGTTCCTCTTTCTCTATTGTGTTCTTTGTGTTTTGATTCATTATTTTAAATCAGTTACAATTTACAAACATAGGATAATAAGTAGAGAGCAAAGGAAGATCTGTGCAGGAAGCATCACACAATCAAACAAATTAAACATGTTCAAACTTCTGTCTAATTAATTTTAGTAGTCAGAAGACTCAAAACCATCTCTCTAGATTGCTACTCATGTTCATATTTTAACTAAAAATAAAATATGGAAATTTTATATAAACTTATAGAAATTTGTAGTAGTTTAGAAAGGAGAAAAATATGCAAAATATGCATGAATAGGAAAATATATATGCCCCAGCCACACAATTTAGGACTTTTCATTTTCATACAAATCTCCTAAAATCATTTGAAATTCTAAGTTGAATACACCTCCTAAGACATCTCTGTTGACCGTATTTCACAGTCATTCACTTTTTTTAAGAAATAAAATAAATATGATATTAGCAGTCGTAGATATTTCAAATAGTTGAGAAACTCACACTCGTTCAAATGAGTAGTAACTTTGAAAAAGTCACACAATCTAATATTATTATTTTCTTTCCCTTTTCAGAATATGAGAGACTTGTATAAGATTTCAATGATCAAAGAATAATATTACGATTCAATGATTTTAATCTTTATTCCCTAAAATTACACCAAGTAATGTTTATTTATATTTATTCTTTCGTATATGTTTATTTCCTCTTATTCTTTCGTATTTATTATTGATTAGAGAATTTTAGTCTTAATATATTTCTTATCTTATTATATAAAGTTGAATGCGCGCGACGTGGTTGCGACACATAATTTTTTTTATAATTTATAGGATCGCGACATGTGTCAGTTTTAATGTTACGTCTGTTAAGATCGTGACACGCGTCTTGAAAAAAAAATGTTAGGAAAAGGAAAATTTTTAAAAATTGAAATTTTATTCTATTATAGTAAAAAAGGAAAAAATTATATTTGTCATTCCAAATAGAAAAAGGTTTTCCATTCATCAAATTTATATTAACACATATTAAATTAAAAATAATGTGATAAATAAAATCCTATAGGATTTTTATAACTCATATAGGATCACGACAAGTGTATTTTTAAAATTCTAAAAATATTAAAATCGTGACATGTAAAACAACAAAAAATAAGAAAAGGAAATAAAAAGCATATCCTCATTAAGAAAAGGAAAAGAAAACGAAAATCAGAAAAAAAAATTTCAAATTAAAAACATTTGTTACATCCATTATGAAAAGGAAAACTAAAACATATTCTCAATACGAAAAGGAAAAAAACAAAACCCAATATATAGTAAGCTATTATAACATCCGTAGCCCATTTTGTGGAGTTTTAAAAGTTGCGTCGGGCAACGCAAGAGTTGCGTCGGTCGACGCAAGGCTTTCTAAATCAAACCCAGTTCAATTTAAGTGAAAATTGGGCCTGGTTTAGCCTGGTTTGGGTCTGGAAGCCCTAAATCACGAATAAAAAGAAGAGGAGCTGCGGGTTTTGTCTTTTAGCGGCCGTTTTTGTGAGAGAAGAAGAGAAGTGACGAGTTTGTGAAGTTCTTGAGCGAGATCCGAGTTCCTGGTGTCGAATCAAAACTCGTTCGTCGTGTTCTTCAATGCTCAGTCCGTTTTCCTCTCTTTCAATCCAAATCAAGGTGAGTGCATGACTGTAGGTCCCCAAATCACTAGACCATAACCTGAAAATGAGTTTTAAAGTTACGTTGGGAATTCCAATCACTTATAAATAGCCTACACATCTTACTTTTGAAAATAGAAAACACTAAACACGTTTCACTGTATCCGTTTCATACACAAGAAAAATTCTATATTCGTTTGTAAAGCTTAAGCAAATATGGCTAAACTTAACTCTCAACTTACTACCCTATTCATTGTTGTAGCTTTGGTGTGCGCATTTGTTCCAGTTTTTTCGGTAGAAGAAGTTGAAGCAAAATCATTATGGGATACTTGTCTAGTTAAGATCACTCCTAAGTGTGCTTTGGATATAATCGATGCTGTTTTTGGAAATGGGACAGTCTCAGATTCTTGTTGCCACGACCTTGTTCAAGAAGGAAAAGTGTGTCACGATACACTCATCAAATATATTGCCGATAGACCCAGCCTAATTAGCAAAGAAACTCAGTATTTGAAGAAAAGAGATGATTTGTGGACTCAGTGTGTCTCAATCTCTAAATCAGCTTAAATGATGTATTGCTAATGTGATTATGACCTAATATATTGATATCACGTTTCTGTTACACTTTCCTTGCCGCAAAAATCCTTGTCTCTAATCTCCTGCATTACAAATCAAAGAAAATTTATCTACAAATTAATCTCTAAAATTTAAAGTTCACTACTCAAACGTTTTTCATAAAATTTACCCGCCAGGAGTGGACAAAAAGAATAAAAATGTTAAAAATTGATGTTTTAGATTTATGTTTGTGTTTTTTTTTCTGTATCATCCAATCAAGTTTTCTTACTTTTGATTTTTCTAAACACAAAATATTGAATTTTGAAAATGAAAAGAAAACAGAGCGAATAATTATAAAAGATTTATGTTCATTCTTTTGTTAGAACAAAACTTTAATTAAAAACCTCATACATAAAGCTCAAATATGAAGTTATTAGTAGCCAAGAGTTATGTATACTAAATTCCACTTGATAACTAAAACTTGGGAGGTTATGGCAAATAGAGGTAAGTTAGTCTACTATAGCCAACATCGTCTTTGCATCGAACATTTGATCATTTATCCGTGGATAGATAACCTCACATGTATTAAGTGTTAAAACAATATCCTATGTTTGATTCAGTAGTTTGGATACCAAGAGTCTTTCCAAACGGTATTTGCGATATTTTTTCTGGAATTTTTACGTAATTAGTTTATCAGAACAGCCTTTTTGAAATGCTACTTAAAAAGTGCTTCAGAATAATGTTTTATTAAAAATTATATCGTTAGACATATCTCACTTTTGTGAAGATATATGGATGTGTTTACATTTTTCATATTATTTCAATATTTCCAAGTTTTATACAAATTTACATAAGAAATTTTAAACCGAAAGGCGGTAGATAAATCTGAATTTTTTTAAAACAAATTTGCATTAAAAATGTAAAACGTCATTTATAATAATAAAAAAATAAACACTACATCGACAGTTAATATGAAACATAATATTATAACGTTCATAGTATAACTAACAAAGAAAACATTTGCCATTAATTTAGGACCATAACCTGAAAATGAGTTTTAAAGTTACGTTGGGAATTCCAATCACTTATAAATAGCCTACACATCTTACTTTTGAAAATAGAAAACACTAAACACGTTTCACTGTATCCGTTTCATACACAAGAAAAATTCTATATTCGTTTGTAAAGCTTAAGCAAATATGGCTAAACTTAACTCTCAACTTACTACCCTATTCATTGTTGTAGCTTTGGTGTGCGCATTTGTTCCAGTTTTTTCGGTAGAAGAAGTTGAAGCAAAATCATTATGGGATACTTGTCTAGTTAAGATCACTCCTAAGTGTGCTTTGGATATAATCGATGCTGTTTTTGGAAATGGGACAGTCTCAGATTCTTGTTGCCACGACCTTGTTCAAGAAGGAAAAGTGTGTCACGATACACTCATCAAATATATTGCCGATAGACCCAGCCTAATTAGCAAAGAAACTCAGTATTTGAAGAAAAGAGATGATTTGTGGACTCAGTGTGTCTCAATCTCTAAATCAGCTTAAATGATGTATTGCTAATGTGATTATGACCTAATATATTGATATCACGTTTCTGTTACACTTTCCTTGCCGCAAAAATCCTTGTCTCTAATCTCCTGCATTACAAATCAAAGAAAATTTATCTACAAATTAATCTCTAAAATTTAAAGTTCACTACTCAAACGTTTTTCATAAAATTTACCCGCCAGGAGTGGACAAAAAGAATAAAAATGTTAAAAATTGATGTTTTAGATTTATGTTTGTGTTTTTTTTTCTGTATCATCCAATCAAGTTTTCTTACTTTTGATTTTTCTAAACACAAAATATTGAATTTTGAAAATGAAAAGAAAACAGAGCGAATAATTATAAAAGATTTATGTTCATTCTTTTGTTAGAACAAAACTTTAATTAAAAACCTCATACATAAAGCTCAAATATGAAGTTATTAGTAGCCAAGAGTTATGTATACTAAATTCCACTTGATAACTAAAACTTGGGAGGTTATGGCAAATAGAGGTAAGTTAGTCTACTATAGCCAACATCGTCTTTGCATCGAACATTTGATCATTTATCCGTGGATAGATAACCTCACATGTATTAAGTGTTAAAACAATATCCTATGTTTGATTCAGTAGTTTGGATACCAAGAGTCTTTCCAAACGGTATTTGCGATATTTTTTCTGGAATTTTTACGTAATTAGTTTATCAGAACAGCCTTTTTGAAATGCTACTTAAAAAGTGCTTCAGAATAATGTTTTATTAAAAATTATATCGTTAGACATATCTCACTTTTGTGAAGATATATGGATGTGTTTACATTTTTCATATTATTTCAATATTTCCAAGTTTTATACAAATTTACAT